TGTGTGTGTGTGTGTATCTCCTCTGTTGAGCTTTCTGTCCATCTGTGGAGGCAGACAGGAAAATACGCACATGTCCTCGTCAGAAGATGAAACACGACTGTAACTGAAAGAAAACTTTATTCATTATGAGAGAAAGAGATGAATAGTTAACGCAGCAGCTTTAACAATTTACATCTGAGCCAACACTGAGCAGATGTCTTGTGCTTTCACACATCACTGCTCCTTCAAGTTTCATAATACACTTGATTTATTCGCCCTCAGTATATTCAACTTGACTTGCCACATTTTTATTATACAACTCATATGCTAATGTTATTATTTTTCTTAAACAACATAATAACAGCCTCCAGCTCCAGGGACTTTGGCTTCCAACTAAATCGTAAAAAAAGAAAACCTCATTGTTAAAAAGAAGGACGTTTTCCTGAATAGTACTTTCACTACAATCCAATTTAATTTCCTCTGGTAACTACTTGAGTGTGGTAGTAAACCTTCATTTTCTCTTTGTTTATGATCCGAATTCCAAGCCACCACCAATCATGTGTAGTTGGAAAATGCTTGGACTCGATGACTTCCTCTTAATGTTGATGCTTACCATTAACACAGTGGGAGTAAGCATTACAAACATCGGTCGTGGGCCACTAATTCATGCTTATACCACTTCACAATGCTGTAAACCAGCTACTGCAGAGTGAGTGTGGTGGGAGGCCCCTTGAGCCTGTGAGCTCTAATCCTCCAGTCCACCCCCACACACCTCAGAAGGAAGGGAATACTGCACGCAGACATCTTGAACAAGCCCGGCCGACCACCGTGTGACAAACATCAAGATGATTACACTGTGCATGTTGAAATGCATCTTTTCTTCCTATTTTCTACCTGCAGGGAAGGCAGCAGCAGTGAGGTGCCAATCCTGGTGGTGGGCAACAAGAGAGATCTGCAGCGGCAGCGCTTCATGCCTCGCAGGGCAGTTTCCGTCCTGGTGAAGAAAACCTGGAAGTGCGGTTATGTCGAGTGCTCTGCCAAGTTTAACTGGCACGTCGTGCTGCTCTTCAAAGAGCTGCTGGGCATAGCAGTGGCTAGGGGCATGCGCCACAACCACACCTCCATCCGTCTGCAGGGGGCACTACAGAGGAATCGCTGCACCATCATGTGACCCCCAAGAGCTCCCTCCACCCCCTCTCACCTCAGGAGTGGAGCAGCAGTGGAGAAAAAGGACTTTTTATCAAAATGGCTGGAAATACATACCCCGTGGCCTCCTGCTTTACTGAGCTGATTTTTCAAAATGAGGTTTATTAGACTCTTGCGCTGTAAAAGACACTAAAATTTCACACATGGTCATCCAACCACTTCCTCGTCAAATTTCACCAAATGTGTAAATGCAAGGAGAGAAGTGTGAGAGGGAGTGGGTGAAAACCAATACATTTAGCATAGCACAGTTATTTTTTTCTCACATTAACGAGCCAGTTAGGTATTTGAGGCTGTGCTTCCCAAAAAATGATGCAGCAGCAGCAGGTCTCACTGAGGCTTGTCTTGTGACTGTAGCAGGGCCTGAAACGATGGAGGCTGTGTTTGTGAGACTCAAAATGGAGAGGCAGCAATATCACTGAGTCTTCCTTTGAATCATGTTCAACAGCAGACACTCATTGCTGATATGTTTGGATTTATCTGAGAGTAAAGATCTGCAAAATAGAAACACGAAGAGGGCAAAAAAATATTAATCTCTGGGGAGATTATATTGGGAAATGTACAAATATGATTAGATTGTGTTTAAATTTAGATTGTGAGAAGTAGCCCATGTTTTTTTTCTTTCCATGTCCCCATTACAATCCTAGCCCATGGGTAAACGCGGTTTGTGCAGGCGAAGGGTGTTTTAAGGTTGTCTTGCAGCAGAAAATACTGCAGTCCCTTATCATGTAGGACTTTTAATCTGCTCCCTCCCCTCACTCAATGTCTGTTTCTGATGAATACATTAAATCAAGAGAACCGGGGACCTGCAGGAGGCTGCAGAGCCTGACATGAGAACCTCTGCATGCAATGTGGATCTGTGTGTGTGTGTGTGCGTGTGTGTGTGTGTGTCTGTGTGTGTGTGTGTGTGAGAGAGAGAGAGAGAGGG